TAAGAAAACCAGCAAGTGTTCACATTTTGGAGGCAGGAAACAGTGAATTTTTGTCACTTTTGATTAAAAAGTACTTCAACAATTGATCAATGTATGGCATCCCAGAAGTACCAGGTGTCACTAATGGAAAATCATCTGATAAGTATAACTGAATACATAAATAATATTGATTTTAATATTATAGTTAAATTAGTTGTAAAAATATACTAACAGGTTTCATGTTTTATTTATTTTCTACACGCAGCATTTCCCTCACATTTGCCAGTTTCCATGTCACTAACTGTTGTTTCTTAAATGCATGGGAGGTACTGGATACATCAAGGACTGAGTCTGACAAGAACTTTTCTACTTTAGTTTGGGAAGTGTTCAGCTACTTCATGTCATGATTTTATGAGGATCACGCAGACAACTGATATAACAATCACTTTGCTTTCATCTCCAAGTAAAGCTCGGCATACACACCCATTCACATCATTCACATTTTCCTTGCTAATTATGTTTGGTGAGGAGAAGATGGAACATGTCATGGGTAAAATGTGAAATGTGTTTAAAATGTGTTAGGTCGGAAAAACAGGAGCTAAGTGATTCCGTTTGAAATATGAATATAAAAAGCAAGGGTGAGAGATTGTCTTTTTTCCTTTTGATTCGAAACAGTTGGACAAAGTTAACATTTTCAGCTCAAGTCTGTCTGACATTATGTACAAGCTAATTACAATGTGCAAAGGTGTGATTACCCAGACCTCAGCTCAGGAAAAGTCAACATGGGTGACTGATGACCCGAGGGAATTGTCAAGAAATCCAGCCACACGTTTTTTTAACATGTTAAGTGTCGCTGAGAGCATTAAACCGTCATAAATTCCCCCAAATGGCTTGAGAGGGGTCTCGTCACATTCCACAGCCAACTTCAGGTCACACATATAAATCATTAAAAACAAATAAAGCTTACAGGCCCTGGCATGCCAAGCCGACAGTCTCTGTTGATGACCATTGCTGGTAGTTTTTTTTTTTTTTTTATCGAAAGCACCACTGGCTTCAATCATTCATTATGAATTGAGCATGTTCGATGTGGAAGCGTTTGCCTTTTCTGTTTTCTCCACGATCAAAAGACCCAGAGACTGCAGCCAATTAAAAGTCTTAATGATAAATTGTACTACTGCCTTTAAGGAGTGACTGTTGTCAGTGTTGCCCCATTCAACGAGGACAGGGCTTTCTAACCTGGTGCTCGGGACCACCAAAGGGTTAGAAGAGGAATCTAAGAGGTCACACGATGATTAATAGAGTAAGAAACGAGAGAGAACAAAATTCTGCTCGTAAAATAATGTTTATTTTGTAGGCTTTTCTCCAAGCTTGAAAAAAGCTCTTCATTAGTTCAGATTTAGCCTAATTATAAAGTAAGTGGAGATTTACTTGTAACGAAATTAAAATGGGTTGTGAGACAAAAACTAACGTTAGCTTGCTAATGTATGACTTGTTTAGAGGGAAAAGTAAAAGATGTAATAAGGAATGTGGTCGGCATGTCTGACCTGACAATTGATTAATGATCTAAACTGGGAGGATTTTAAATTACATTTCAAAAAAATAACCCAACATACCTCAAATTACAAAATGCTATGCCAAAAAAAAAAATGACAGTAAATGACATTAGCTTGGTTTAAATAATCCAGTGTTTCCCACTCATTCTGCATCAGTGCTGCTATCACTGAAACTATTTCTCCATGTAAGCATATAGAAATAAAATGCTGTAATATCTTGTTTAATATATTGTTTGCACCCCAAAGCCATTGTCTTCAGCTTTTTGTTTACGGAGTTGTTTATTTTTAACTGGACAGTGCCACAAATGTTTCCTAACAACAAATTACACATTATTAAATTCCTAATGAGCTAAGCGTTTTTAGTTTTAAGTTTTAATTATGCAAACCTGTATAGTGAATCAGCTAGTTACGAGGAACTACGGAAAGACTACACATAAACTTGGTGCCACCTGCCCAGGCCTCCAGAAGATAAAATTAAACAATCTTTAAAACTAGTAGAATGGTAGATTTTATATTGAGGAGTCACGAGCAAGAAACGCTGGTAAATCCTAGACTAAGATGTTTCTCACACACAAGCTACTAAAATGTAATGTATCTTTTTGTACTTGAGCTGCATTTCTATCAGTGATCCCATACTCACGGGGCACATCACACTGTTTCTGAAGTCAAGGTGACCGTCACCCATGGCGACTGAACATTGTGCTGCAATTTGACCCAGTTGCTCCTGGATTTTTGTTGATCCGCTCACCACCCCCAGGGAGACATGTGCACATGGTTTGGTTTGTTGCCACTAGATGAGGCCACGAGGCTACAAGACTGGCTAACACACAGTCACACACATGATGAGCTCATACACAAATAATGAAATACTCTCTGAGGCTTGAAGACACACACACACACACCACTTCTGTGTTTAGTGAAGATAAAAAGTGGAACCAGTGGCGCGTTAACGCACGTGATGTTCCTTGAATCTGTCTTTTAAATGCCGGGATCCAGTCCCATGGTTTGACATCACATAGACTGACAGTTTCTTTCTCCCTGTCTGTCTTTATATCTACTCTTTGGAAAGGAAGCATGTCCTAAATGTGAGGGCAGCAGCTGTCGCCTGTCAGATGTGGTTTTAAAGAGGGTGTGTGTGTGTGTGTGTTGTCTGCATGGCAAGCAAATGGTAGCCACCGTGTGAAGTTGTGCAGAGCCACACACCCTTTTTCATCTCCGTCCAGCTGTCCTCTTTTCCTGTCTGTCCCATTCCTAGGGCTACACCGAAGACACACACACACACACACATGCATACTGCCAGAAATCACAGCTATCCACATAAAAACAAAAAAAATGTTGTATTTAACCTCAAAGTGATCTCTCACAGTAATGTGAAATCTTACTGTGGTTAAGTCCTTAGATTCTCTTCAGTCATCTCTCTTTTGTACTTTCTATTTTCTGATGCGTTGTATTTACACTCGCTAGCGATGTCTGACAGTAATTTTTTATGGCTTCTTTTTATGAGGCTGCTTTGTGGACAAATAAAGAAATTAAGTCAGTCATTAAGCCCTGCAGCTGCCTCATTCCCCTGTCCATTACACAGCCACTACGTCTCTGTTTTTTCCTCCTGCTCTCTCTCAGTCTCTCTGCTATGATCTTGTGATGTCAGTCTGTAATGTACAGTCAAATGGAAGGCACTTTTAATCTTAAAGTTCTTTTATCAGTTCGAATAAACTTGTGTTTATTGTGTTTTTTAACTCCAAAAACAGGAAAAGAAAGATTCAAAATATACAAATAAGCCAGGATGTTACGATATCCTTCTCCAAGTATCAAAGCCATGTGGTGGCATTTTTTTTTGGTATTTAGCTGGAAGGAGCTGCTCAGATGAATTACTTACAAAAGCTGTTAATTAATAAGTTTGTACAGTGTCTTCCTCCCTGCAGCCTGAGGGCCCTTGGCATGTGTTTATCTGTTTGTGTGCGCTCGTTGTTTCGCTGCTGCTCCCCCAGGAGGGTGGGGCAGCAGACATATGGCAATAGACTGTGATTTTATTGATTCTTTGATCTCCACATTTTCTCCCTTTGTGTCTCAGATTACCCATTTTGTTTCAGTTTTATTGACCATTTAGAGGAAGCTTTCTCTATTTGGACAAGTGTCTGTTCTGCTTTAATTTTACTTTTGAGGCTGCAGCTGTGGCTGAGTCTGCTCCATGACCACAAAAAAAACAGTTATTTTCATTATTGATTCATTTATTTTCTGAATAAATCCATGACTATTTATGTTTAAATAATGTCAGAAAATAGTGAAAAATACCTTTTATAATATCTGTCAGTCCATGGTGATGTATTCACATTGCCTGTTTTATTCAACCAGCAGACCATAACTCAAAGATATGCATACTCAAAAAAACAAGAATACTCACAACTGAGAAACAGGAAACATTCAAAATAAACTAAAATGTTGCAGATCTACAGTATGTATTTTTAATATCCTCCAAATGTGCCCTTTAAAAAAAAATTGCAGGTATTTAGCTTTTCTCTTTAAATTATGGAACTACAAAATAATTAATTCTGCATTTCTTCGATTTTTCTTTTGTATTTGATTGATTATTCTTTGTTCAGCAGTCCACCATGCACTGCCCCTCCTCAGTCTCGGTAGACTGAATTAGCATTGCAGATCATTGCAGTTGAGAAGTGCCGTCAGGCGGCCCACTCCCTCCAAATTTTTCTGCCACTCAAAGCAAAACGTGTGGCTCATGTTTAATCATAGGAACCGTTAGGTGTTTGAGTGGGTGGGTCATTTGCATCAACGGCCGCAAAATTACCTGAAGGAGTTAAAAAGGGTCGATATTGATATGTGAAGCCGAGGGGCTACTTAATCAATTTCTCGATCAGAGTCGATCAGAGTCACAACAAGCAAGGACACATAGCTTTAATGAGCAGCAGTAAAAGTGAGGAAGCTTAATGAAGATGATACAGAGTTGATTCTTTTTTTTTCTTCTTTTTTTTGTGATTTATCTGATATTTATAGTGTTTGGTTATCTCCTGTTGATCTGAAGAACACCCAGACCTGAAACCTCCAGCGAGAGCATTATCCTCTCATCTGCCAGTGTGATTAATCTGCTCATTGCCTCCTTTGCTGTTTGGCCATAACTCAATTCCCTCTCTTGTTTGCAAAACTGCCCTGAGCTCTGGAGGGGGATCTGGCTGCAGCAAACTCAATCTCCCAGCTTGTAACTCAGCATTACCCTCAGCAACCAGACCTCGCCCTACTGCTCTGACCAGTTATTAAAGCCTCATGTTGCCTGTTGTTCTGCTCACATCAAAAACACTGTTGTGAATTCAAGCCCTCAAGGGTTTTCTCTGTAGATCAAAGAACAATCTATTTGATGTCCTTGTACATCAGTTTTTTACTCTGTTAACACCCAAGTTTCTAGGAAACAAATCGAACAATGTTTATTTAAGTATGCACGTGGTTTTTCTCTAACAGGTCGCAGGGGAACAGAAATATCACCCAGAATGCTTCACCTGTCTGAACTGCAGGGCGTTCATCGGTGATGGAGACACATACGCTCTGGTGGAGAGATCCAAACTCTACTGGTGAGTGTCAAGCTCTATGAAATAAAAAAAATGCACAAAAATATTTTTTAAATGTCCAGTTTTAACACTGGCAGCTAGTAGATAATACGGTTTATGGTGCTTTGCTTTGTGAGCTGTATTTCCCTCTAACTTATCTAACTATTACTTGTTTTAGTTAGTTTTCCTAATTCCATCTTCTGCCACAAGCTAATCCACTTGAAATCCCTTTGAAGTGCAACCAACCCCCCCCCCCCCCCCCCCCCCCCCAAAAAGAAAAAAGAAAAAAAAAGCCAAAACTGCTGTTGACTGACAAAATCTTAAATTTATGCGTCTTATTTTGGGCTTCAAAGGACTTCTGACAGCTGACTCAATGCACAGTGGATAATCACAGCAACCACACTTTTAACTGGCATATTTTCATTTATTGTTTAAAATTTGGCGCAGTTGTGCCCACTGAAAGTTCCAGCCAGAGAAACTGCTCAAAATACAAATGTCTCCAGCCGGTGACAGTGACATACTGTAGAAAATCACACAAGAGACAGAAGCTTCACAGTCGATCATTTGTATTAACAGATAAATTGCAGTTACAGACTCAGTGTCACTGTCTGTATCAGTAAACCTGTCGATTCAAATCAGGAACATAATGAACATCATTAGTCTCTCACGGGTCTTATTATGTGTCTATTTCAGGTTCAGGGTGTTCTTCATGTGTGCAGCTCCAGAGTTGTGTTGGTGTGACTTGTAATAAGCCTCAGGCTTTAAAAACAGGGTTTAATGTGAAACAAGCTACACAACACAGAAATACATAGACACAGAACAGCCTTTGTCTTCTTCACTGAGTAGAAGTGGATGATGACTGTGCGATTGAGTCCGATCATTACATTTATTGAGAGCTTTGCATGTTGCCACACTGGGTGAATTCAGGCAACAGCAGGAAAGAAAATCAGCAGTTACACGCTGTAAATAGCTTGAAGCATAAATGAGAGAGTAAAGTGCGCTCTGTCATTCAGATTATGTTTCACCACTGCTTTGCTAGTTTTTAATCACCTCATAGTTATGTCCTGAGTCATTCTTAAATTCCCAGAATTTGGGGGAAAATAGTTATTTGTTAACCAAACTGATCAGAGGTCACGCTGACCCTCAAATCTGAACAATGACTGCACAGTGTGTTCCCAAACCAAGCTAAAGCAACATCTTGTCAACAACATGTGATGCTGTGAAAACTGTTGTAATGAGAACTGGACGTTCCTCTTATGATTGCATGGACGGTTGTAGAGCCAGAAAGCTCACGAGGACTCCTGTTCTCTGTACTAGACGACCCCTTTTTTATAACCTCCCTCCTGCTTTCCTTCATCTGTTTCTCCTCGTCCTCTCTGGCTCCAGTGGTCACTGTTACTACCAGACCATCGTCACCCCGGTGTCGCTGCCGGACTCACCATGCTCACGAATCCCTCACACAGTCACGCTGGTGTCCATCCCAGCCTCCGCTGAGGGCAACAACGGCCGCAGAGGGCGAGGTTTCTCTGTGGCCATCGACCAGCCGCTCAGCCCGACCAATGGCTACAGCCCTGATCATGGACACACTGTCAGGGTCTCCCAGTGAGTCTATCTGTCCGTGTGTGTGTGTTTGTGTGTTATGTCATTTTGCGCTTGTGTGGGAGTAACAAGGGTATGAACAATAGCGCAAGTTGGAAAAGAAGAGGTCAGTGTGTGGTGGAGGGCAAAGAATGAAAGAGGATTAAAATGGAGGACAGGGTGATAGATGAGATTCATTTAAAATAAATAATTGAGTGGAAGGAAAAAGGAAATGAGCTGAAATGTAAGTCACTATTATTCAAATGAAGTGAAAGAGGTGTTTTTTGTTTGTTTTTGTTTTTTTATGCCTGTTGTTCTTCTTTATCCAGGGTGGACCCAGACTGCATCAGTCCAGATGTGAAAAATTCCATTCACGTTGGAGATAGGATCCTGGAAATCAATGGGACGCCCATTCACAATGTTCCTCTGGATGAGGTATTCACCACACTGTTGCCGAGACATTGTTACTGAGATTATACTTTATTGTAAATATGCAAATGAAACCGTGATTTTCTTTTCAGGGAAGGTGATGATACAATAATTACCAAAACTCACCAGCTGCTCAGTGTTATCTATTGAACAGGAAACTATGTGACTGTCAATGAAAAGTAATAAAACATTTAGTTGATACATATAGGAACTGACTTATTAATGAAACAAAAAGTTAATGTTTTAGTTTCTTTTTACAAGAATAATGAAATGAATCCGTGTAATTCTCTGTCATCTACTCAAATTTACACAGTGGTGGTCTTGGAAAAGCTTAATATTTCTCTTGTGTGAGAGGGAAATCAAATATTCACCCTGCTAGACGCGCTAAGCAGCAGAAATGAATATCTACAGATCCAAGCTGAGCATTACAAAGGTTTATTTCATCCACAAGGCTGCAGCCACAAGAAGGATCTTGCTGTTCTAATTTTGGACCGACCAGCCTGCCTTAAAACCCCCTCTTCCTCTCCAGATCGACCTGCTGATACAGGAGACAAGCCGGCTGCTGCAGCTCACCATTGAACACGACCCTCACAGTCAGGGGCAGGAGGGAGGCTCCTCGGAGGCTGAAGAGCAGGTGGACGGTCCCCTGTCCACCCCTCTGTCTGAGGGGCCCAGCCCCACCCTGCCCATCACCCAGCCCCCCAACCCCGATATCAGCAACCTGAGATCCCGCATCATCACGTAAGAATTACAAATAGATTTTATTGCTTTAACACAGCACCCAACTCTACTGTTTTTCCCATTTCCTCTTTCCGTTCTCTTCTCCTCACCCTGTCTGTCTCCCCTCTCACCCTCCAGGCGGAGCTACAGCATTGATAAGTCACCAGGCTCCAGCAACGCAGCGTCCCCTATCTCCCAGAGGAAGGATATCAATCGATCTGAGTCGCTCCGCGTTGTTTCAAACCGGACGCACCGCATCTTCCGCCCATCTGACCTCATCCATGGAGAGGTGCTGGGGAAGGGCTGCTTTGGACAGGCCATCAAGGTAGATTTGGGTCATTTAAGAGACACTGCCATTATATTTTCATGTGCAGCATGCAATGTTGTAATACGTATAAAGTCCAGGAGATGGCAGCATTGAGATAAATCAGATGGTGGGGAGAGGCAGGACGGTGAATGTTTGTGGTTTTATCACATCTCGGACTTCCCATGCTTACATACAATAGGTCAGTGACAGTGTCAGAGCCAAATGTTTATGGTTAATATTGCATCAGAATAACGTTTCCCAGCTGGTTGCTCAACTTGAATTGTTGCACCATTGTGTCTTGTTATAGGTGACCCACAGGGAGACAGGGGAGGTGATGGTGATGAAGGAGTTGATTCGCTTTGATGACGAGACACAGAAAACATTCCTGAAAGAGGTGAGTGGAGGAGGACAATCCCAGATGTTACATCACTAAGATTTACTCAGTTGTATTCAGAGGCTGAATCAACTGTTTTGTTTGTCCTAAACAAAAATCTGAAATCAATAAGTCCTTACGTAGTCTTTATAAGTCTATCAAAAAATTGATTAATATGTTCATAATGAATACAAACATAAATTTATTCAGATATTAGTGATGATTCAGTCCAGGTGATAAAATGAGAGCAGCCAGTACCCCAAAGTTATTAGTGAAGCAGGTTTGTTATTTGAAAGATTTTAATTCCTGGACCAGCTGGGGAAATCTATGCTGTGAAAATAAAGAAAAAAGTGTTTTGTGCTTGACCAGGAGCTGAGGATTCTGGTTAAAATTAGAAGCTCCTCTGTGTGACTGTAGAGCACGAATGAAATATAAAACAAAGGAAGAGGTTCTCTTGCCTGAATAAATGAAAGTAAAATACATTAAACTACCTCTGAAATACGGCAAATGGGAGTGTAAACATAACCCTTTCTCCCATAAATGAGGGATGAGCAGAACATATTTTACCTCCCACACGAAGCTTCATGTCTCTCCCGTCCTTTCATTAATTTGAAAAGATAACAGAGTGACTCATGCATAGAAGTTTAGACTTCTGTAAGAGTTTCTGAGTTATTGTTACCCTTGAAGTGGAACTAAATAACGCCTGATGTTCCAGTTTGATGTTTAGTATCGTAGACTCATTCATCCATTTTATAGCCTTCTAATTAAGATGTTTGATTGTGTGTAGTGTGTGTGGGGTTTCAGTTTTATTATTCTGTTGCAATAATACTGAGTCTTTGCTTTGTAATTGGTGCGGATGACGACAAAGTAAAAGAAGCGCCTATAAAACAAACCCCCAACCACAATTAAACATGATTATTACTCCCGTTGGCTGTTTGTTTGTAGGTGGCCCATGTCTCACATTACTGAGGCTCCAACCATGTACCAAACATTTCAGACAAAGACATCATGAGGCTTGAATGGTAATATTTCAGGTTTATGTGTGTGTGTAATAGTGACTGGCCTCCTCCTTCACAGCCCAACCTTCAGGAGGGAAATGTTTTATGAGGTGTCAGAGTAGCGCTCTGAGCAGCAGGAAGTTTGGAAGAACTGTGCAGGAACTTTCTCTGTTGCCTTTCAAATGAGAATAGATATAAATAGTAACAGTAGAAATGAACTTACAGTAGTAAAATGAACTTGAGTGCGTCACGGAGTCACAGCTATAACAGGACTCAAGCAGAGACAAAGCTTTTGTTTTTCTAGTATCATTGGTATTTGGTTCAGAAAACAAAATCAGTTTAAGCTAAATCTGAATGTTTTAATAGAATAACTGATTATCCACCTTTGGACAAACAAAGATAAGTGACCCGAAACCCTGAATTCACTGGTGCAATTCTGTCTACCTGCAAAAAATTGTCAAACTTTATTATGACTCTCCAATGTTCATAAAGTTATAAGGAACAGGGAAATACACTTATTAGCTGTCTTGCCAAAAGTTAGATAAGAGGATTGATACCACTCTGATGCTTGAATTGTAAACCCGAAGCTACAGCTAGCAGCCAGTTAGCCTAGCGACTTCACTGTTCCCAGTCAGGCCCAGCACAGCATGTTGTTTTTACACTTTTTGTACAGACTAAAAAACACAAGATATAACATCTTAATTTGCAATATTTAGAGGTGCTGGTAGGCACATTTTGTTGCCTTTGGACAGAGCCTGATGAATTGTTTCCCCCAGTTTCCTGTCTTTATGCTAAGCTAAGCTAACCAGCTGCTGGCTGTAATATCAATCTTCTCAGCTAACTCTCAGCAAGAGTAAGTAAATAAGTGTATGTCCCAAAATATCAAAGAATTCTTTTTAAGTTTCAGACTGTTGATTGACTTTTACACTTAGAAGATAACGCCAGTGGTGTGGTTGATGTTTCTAATTATAAAGCTTAAGAAAGCAAAGAGCAGAGAGGCTGATACTTCATTGGTATAACTAAACAGATAGTGAGATCATACTAGCATCAGCATTAGCATTTACCAGTCCAAGTAACGTGTCATTTACAAGATGAACTGCATCGATATCTGTGATGTTGACTTAATCCAAAGAAATATGAGACAGTGTGACAGAGACAGTGTGTAAAAATACTTGTCCCTGTTTCATCAGGTGAAGGTCATGCGTTGCCTGGATCACCCCAATGTGCTCAAGTTCATTGGAGTCCTCTACAAGGACAAGAGACTCAACTTCATCGCAGAGTACATAAAAGGAGGCACCTTGAGAGAAATCATCAAGAAAATGGTGAGGGCAGAGTGTGTGCCTGCAGGAATATCGGTTAGATGACATGATTCATCAGCAGCACTGAATACAATGGCATTTGAATGTGATTTTTTATTTATTTATTTATTTTTTCCCTCACAGGACAGCAGCTATCCGTGGAACCTGCGGGTCAGTTTTGCCAAGGACATTGCTGCTGGGATGGTGAGTTCAGAGACTGAAAAGTGCATGTGATTGTCGTAGCTTTGTAGTAGTAGGTTGGTGTTTTGCCTGTAAATCTAATTGAGGCAGTGAACTTTCTTGATGCACGCAGCGTTGAGGGAAGATGCATTGCTTCCTGTTGTCTTTACTGCTTTCTCCCTCTGGTGGTCATGTTAGCGAGCTACACATCTTCTCATATTGTGCACAGTTTTTTCCATTCCCCTCTATGGAAATTACAACATGAATTCCTGCAGGATTAGACCATGGGTTCTTAATGTTTTCCCTTAATATGATCACAGTGATGAATGTTGTGCATGACTGGATTATTGTATTTACAAAATCAGCCATTTGAGATGAAATAAGGCAGGATTGTTCCTCTTGGCATGGGTTTGAGATTACCACTAAATACTTCAATTTTTTCTGTTTGTTTTTTTATTCTTCCTGTCTTTCTGCCCTCTCCTATCTGTCTATCTATCTGTCATTCAGACATATCTGCATTCCATGAACATAATCCACCGGGACCTGAACTCACACAACTGTCTAGTCCGAGAGGTAAGAACTTGTATAGTCCTGTACACTTAAAGCATGTGTGTTTGTGGACATACCTGTGCATATACAGTATGCTTTCTTAGAGGATTTAACAAAGTGCACCTGTCATTTTCTGAGGCAGTTCAGATACAAAAATAAAGGAGAGCTTTGTTAGCAGTAGCTATAAGAGACTAAACCTTCCTCAAACACACTCCACATGAGTAACTTGCAGCGGAAACATCCACCTCATGCTATTCAAACAGAAAGATCATTGTAGTCGTGTCACATGAAAACAAACGGTTTGTATTGTAGAGCTCACACCTGAAGTTTTTCTACACTAAGAGAAATTGGAAGCTTGGAGCTGAATTTCAAGCTTTCTAACCTGGTGTTGTAAACACTGCTTGAAGCTTTTGTCTCTCTTGCCACTCTCTCGCAGTACAACATTAACTTTCTATGATAATTTTCTTTGTATAGAACAACACCGTGGTGGTGGCAGACTTCGGGCTGGCTCGGCTCATGATCGATGACAAGCATGAGGAGAAGTTGTCGCAGGGTAAACTGTCAGGTCTGAAGACGAAGCCCGACCGCAGGAAGAGGTACACTGTGGTGGGAAACCCCTACTGGATGGCTCCTGAGATGATCCATGGTATGATCTACTGGGACAATTTGATATAGATGTATTCAATTATACCTATTCGCTCCTTCCTGAGATATCTAAAGAAAACTGCAGTCATTGCAATGCTGCAGTTGTTGAACATATATGGCATTCCTCCTAAATACTGATAACATTTGTCCTTTTTCGTTCTCAGGGAAGAGCTACGATGAGAGAGTAGACATCTTTTCCTTTGGTATCATGCTCTGCGAGGTAAGTGACCCTCTGCTCTCTGCAGTAGAGTTAGACACCTAGGATTTCAGAGAGGTTATATAAAAAATGCTTTCACAAAAGTTTTTACAGTCTTAATTTGGAATAAATGTGCAAAAATTATAAAACAAGCTGTTTTTTCCTTAGTAATATGTTGAACTGTCACTTACAAAAGTCACTTTCCTTGTCACTTAACATTAAATACTTTAAACCCCTTTAAAACCTTCTGGAGTCTAAGATGTTCCTGCAGTTTTACTACACACTTAATTAGGCCAATATTAAAGTTCAGCTATAATTTTGCAAGTGTTTTCTACAGTATTCAGTTCATTTTATGAGTATGATTTTCCATATTTCTGGAGGAGCTTTCCAGAGCCCTGGAAAGTAAAAGAAGCTTACTCCCTGAAAGAAAATACCAACCTCGAAGTATGGTAGGCTTTAGGCCTGGAGTCACACCAAACAGTTTGGTTCGGTCCCATATTATGACCTCCCCAGATGGACACCATTAGCCAGTGAATAGTGCAGGGAGTAGAGAGATCAGAAAAACAAAGTTGTCTTGATGTGGCTTCTGACAGGCAGGCACACAGTAGTTGTGGTATGTTGGGAACGATCAGCTTCAGTTTGAAGGGTTTACTTGTTTTCAGCAGATCAGCACTGGAGGACTCCCTTCAGAGAACCATCCTATGACTCTTCCATCTTTAATTCTTCTTACTCTTTGTCTCTTTGGTTGTCTTGCCCCCTCCAGATAATTGGCAGGGTGAACGCAGACCCAGACTACCTCCCCAGGGCGATGGACTTTGGACTGAACGTGTCTGGTTTCCTGGAGCACTACTGTCCCCCAGATTGTCCCCCTGCCTTCTTCCCCATGGCTGCTGTGTGCTGTGACCTTGATGCAGACAAACGGTCAGACATCTACAATAGATTCACACTGACATCTTACTGTACCTTAAGGGACAGTTCACCCAACATAAACCTTTATTTTTTTCTTCTCACTCAAAGTTTCATAGTAATTTGCTGAGTTTTGCATTTGTTGGTTGTAGCTTGCCCCAGTATTGTATTCAGTTGTGTTGATTTATTTTTTAAGCAAAGTTAGCAAAGTTAGCAAAGTTTGGGTTGTGAAAATATAAATGATAGGTAATAACCTGCTTTCTTAATCCGTAGACCTGCTTTCTCCAAACTGGAGGAGTGGCTGGAGAACCTGAAGATGCACTTGGACATTGGTCTGCCCCTGGTGTCTGAAGTGGACCAGCTGCACAAGGCCTTCTGGGAGAATCACAGCATCATGCGCCCTGAAAACGGCCTGCACACCCACCCCGAACAGCCAGAGTAGGACTGAACACAACTGGAGGAGTGGGAAGTTACGAGTTAACCCCACCAGGGCAGCGACTGCCTGCCTCAGGTGGTGCAGTGGCTGGAGGAATCCATGTTTGAAGCAGATGCAGCGGCCTCAGGCTGGCTCAGGCTTAATGAACAGACTCAGGGGGAAAATGTGGATGTGAAAAGCCACCTGTGCGAGATGCACTCACACACATACACATACACACACACACACACACACACACACACATTCAAAGAAAATCAAGAGACATTAACTACGATAGCTTGATTCTGCTGCACCCGAAGCTAAAGTGGAACATGTCATATGCAATCAGACCCGACTTACAAATCATGACTCAACTCTTGAATCGTGTAGATTTAACATTAGAGGTCATACCATTCAAGAATACTTACTGTAGTTACTGTAGTGTGTATATTCATGTGGATAAGGTAGTCCAAAAAGCAAGGCACAGAGCAAACCTTCAGCCTCACTTTGGGCCTCTACAGAGTACATTGTGCACCACGTGTTTCTGTGTGAGTTTGGTTTGATTTTGCTTTTTGGTTTGGATCTCAAAACTGAACTTCTGAAAAATGCAGAGGAGAGGGGCCTGTCAGCCTCTCACGACGCAAAGGTTGAGATCAACTTGCTGTCCACTTGTACAAGTCAAACAAAACCTTTCAAGCTTTAAATAGCTCACTGAAGAGTGCATGACTGTAAATAATGCTGTCAGGTTAGGTCCTGGTTCATTGTGTCCCTCTCATCTCAGACCTACTTGTGTCTGTGGTGCTGCCCCTCTCCCTCATTTATTGTGTAGCATTGACTTAACACTGAGGTACACATCTTTGGCATAATTTCGGTACGTTGCCTCCCTAAATTTAAGAGCTGTTAGTGTATCTCAGTCATGTTCATGTGGCATCTTTATTCATGCATTCATACCAGTGTAGATAGCTGGCAACATTGTAAATGTTTTAAATAGTGTAAATGTACAGACATATTTTATATACGTATGCTACATTGCCATATTTTTATTGGCCGACCAGTTGAAATTAAGGAGAGTAAAAGTTTGACTGCAGTTATAAGGGCACAGCCGAAAGTTTTATTGTTTATTGTTTCTACATTGTCACTATTGAAGCAGGTTAGAGGCTTTTAGCATTTGAGATATGAGGAATCTTATCACCATAACACATCTCCGACCCTCAGTTCAAGCTCAGTAAATGTTACATCCTGTCATTTCCCTCCATCAAAAAAGTATTTCTCCACTTTGGATCGGCCCTCTTGGAGTTTTCATGTAGCTATAGATGTGTGCCGGAGTATATCAAATTATTGGAAAGGGTTTTATTGCCATTTTAAACTTGCTGAACTGAATCTGCATCTCATGATCAACAAAAATTATGTGTGATATGATGATTTTTGAGGGCAATCGATCTGTTATTAATTATTCACTCTCGTCTCATGTACTGTACAGTAGTTCAGCTGTGGGGATAATATCACCAGGTACTGTCTCATTATGTCGGCTGTCTATCTGTCTCTCCTCCTGTGGATGACCCACTGTTTGTTTACATGTAAATGCTAGCTGTAAATATCACTGTATATACGTGTCTGTCCTAACATCTGTCTGCGTGCATTGCATAAATATGCGCACTCCTCAGAAATGATCTCTTCCTCTGGTCAAATTTCTCTCTTGCACCTTCTAACATAAGATTTCTGTCTCTAATCTTTTTTTATTTCCTGCTGTTGTTTTCACAAGCTGCATGATGCACTACATAGGTCTGTTCAGCTTATAAACCAAGCTATTTTTGTCTCTAAATATTGTGATTTTAAGTAAGAAAACAAAGAATGGAAAAAAAGTCAACAGAGAAAGCGAGGCTAAAAAGGAAATGAGAAAAAAACAGCATTTGTTTTTATATATAACCACTGAAATCTTTTTGTATAGATTTGAGTACTTTAATTTGCACTATATTACCAAATGGCTGGTTGAAGCCATGTTTATTAATTTCCTCTCGGGCTACTTGTGATAAGGAAATAAATGTCGGTTCAGGTTGATATATGAATGCAAGACACTGATAGAGCCTTTCAACTGTAAAAATGGGATCTGGGGAATTCATCCTCTTGATAGCAAACTGGACCACGTGAGCATAAGTTTCTGATTATTTAGATGCAATTTTTGTGCATGGTTCAGCTTTAAAAATGTTTTGGCAGGAGACAGTTCGATCCCTCTGTGATCTTACTGTAAGTAAAGTTATACATCTGTGGCAATATTGATTATATTTTCCATTTTTAAGCAAAAGTCTCCAAAACTGTTAAAATACTTTCATGCCCAGTTGAATAGCTCCTAAGAGACAAGGTTTCCCAGTCTTTGCTACCAAGAGGATATGGTGTCCCAGCTCTGCCTGCTGCCTACAGACTGGTCCTTTGTGAATGATGTTCTGTGTTGTTTCTGACTGCTTGGTTTCATATGTGATGCCCACAGAGGCTGCAACCACTGCTGCTGCTTCTGATAATAGAGCACTGGCCTGTCTCACCTCTCACCTCCTCGTCACACTCTTTTGGCTCAGGGCCGTAATTTTCTGGAGCTTACTTCACAATTCAGTTAATTCAGCAGCTTTATAGGAAAGCAGAACTCAACAGTAACAGTGCAACTCAAATAGCATGTAACCTCCTGTCAATGTATAGGCTGTTAACACAAAATACGCTTCTGTAAAACAAGCCCCTCATGGTTGATGTGTTCGTCCGTGGGCATGTACTGTACATGAGTGGCTTTGCCATGTTTCTGTCTCCATTTCCAGTCTGAGCCATGTCGAGCATGTTAGATGTGTCTGCGAGGACGTGTTGATGATCAATGAGAATGTTTCAGCAGCACTTCTTTGCAAAGGATCGTTACCTCTGAACAATGCTGTGCCTTTGTTGTAAGCTAGCCTTGCCAACGACTCGAAAAACGTGAACTGATTTCCTTTTTTTATGTATCATAAGTGCAAGCCTGATTCAAGTGGATTGAATATCATTGCTGATACTATGTTGTATGAGATTTCATTTTATTCTGTATCGTATTTATATTTTCCAGATCTCCATTGTCAGTTTTGATATTTTAATATTATATTCCTTTTTTTTTGTCTTATTTAATTTTTTACACAAGCTGTGAAAACAATTCTGCACTTTAATCCTGAACGTGAACATTTAGACTCTGAGGAGGCAACTGTTTTTTTTTCCTTTTGTCACAGCTAAAAATAAAACTGTTGCTCCTTAAACAAACCAAAGACTCAAAATGTGTTCATTAATGATGATGCCTAACTCAATCTCTGTTAATTCACGACATCTAGTGATAAAAGAGCCCAAGAAACCGAATTTACTCAATCATTGGCCTTTTTCAACTACTGAAGCACACAGCTCCAATAATATGTGAATTCACACCAGAAGAGCGCTGCATTACCTGGGCGGACAAAATGTGTGGGCCACGTTAACATGGTAAAAATAGTGCTTGCCTCTGCTCAAAAAAGTATAGAGGAATTCATTAAAAAATGTGTTTACACATCAGCCACAAGATGTCACTATCTGTCTCTGCTCTCCATTTTTATGGTGAAAGAAAGCATGAGAAGCTCATGAGGTGTATAATTAAAAAACTAAATGCTGCTGCTGTGATTTCCTAACCTTGTATAAGGTATGTACTGTCACTCCTGGTATGAATACTGCAAAGTAACAGTGATGGAAGAAGAACAAGCACGATACTACGTTTGTATGTTTTTTGTATGTAAAATCTTGATCTTCAAAGTAAGTAGTAACTACATTTGTCAGATTAATGTGGTGGAGTAAAATGTACAGTCTGTCCTTCTAAAGCATAAAGTAGATTGATGATGGACCCCTGAGCACAGACATGTAAAATCACTCTCAAGTCTTTATGGTCATTTTGTGTCTGCTTGTAGTTTTTTGTCTCTTTGTGGTCGTTTTGCATCTCTTTATGGTCATTTAATCGAATTTCCAACAAGAAATATTAATGACCATTCCAAACAGTCTCTGGCCTCGGGGTCCCCTGACCCCTTGGGCCTCTGGGCCTGTGCCAGTAGGCCTGTTCAGTGAGCCATCCATGTTCAAATGCAGAAAATGTGGTAAAATGAAGATACACAGCTGAAGTATTAGTTCCTCAATACTGTAGTACAAATTATTTATTTATTTAAAATAATCGTTATACAATTTTGTACTCAACTACTCTGAAACAGTACTGTACCTGGTACAATGAAGATAAAGACTTTTCCACTGACTTTATACTACTACTCTTACAGCTATTACTACTGCTAACATTAATGATAATAAAATTATGCTGATATTGTAGCATATAAACTAAACCACCACATTAATGCATGAGGTTTTACAGCTGTCTTAATGATAAATCATACATACAAATATTCCAATAATACTCGTGTAAACACTGTAAACACTGTAAACACTGCTTCGAGTGAGTGAGCAGCAGAGTGGTATAAGTATTCAATGCAGATAAAAGTCCCCAGTAAGTGTATATAATTCACTGTACTAGTCACTATATTTGTTCATTTTCGCGATGAACGGTGCATTTTATTATTTTTCCACGCAGGTGCACGTGACCACTCATCCACGTGCGATTGTTTTCATTTCGAGGCTGCTGCTGCAGTGGCGGATGTCTGTCGACGTCACCGGCCCGGCAGGCTGGAGGCAGGCTCGTCAGTCAGTGTTGCCAGTTTGGACGGTTTTCCTGCCGAATTGGGCTGCATTTTGTACCAGTTCTTAAATGTTTGCCTATTTAACAATTTTTCAAAATGTGAGGGAGGTGTGGACGGAGATACGGAGTTGTGTGAGGTGAAGGACAGCAAAATAAATTGTTGTAGTTAGACCGGCTTATCAACACTAATAAACAGCTGCATCAGATACAATTACGGTTGGCTATTGTAAAACCCTTACAACCCCAAAAACTCATAATTCAATCAAATCTGAGCACGCAAACATGATACATATATATTTTTTAGATTCAGAGTCACTTACACTTTCTGAGGATAGGCTACTATTACTCCCGAAGCATAGCAAATGAAGACGCTCCTTATAACTCCAGAACTTAAATATCAAAGTTAATTGTTAATAGTTGTCAGTACATACAACTGTACATAGCAAATTGCTAACTGCTAACAGATAATTCAGCGTACTTAGTTAATTTTCCAAAAATGTTAACAATATAGTCTAAAAAGAAACGGGGTTCAAGTTGAAGGCCACAGAGTAATTTTTGTTAGTCAAACCTGGCAACACTGTCTTCAGTTTGAACGACTGTGAGTGTGTGCTGCTGCTGCTGCTACCTAACACACTCACTCACACACTCACAGGGGGGACGGGTTTGTCCGGTCAAACGCAACACACAGACTGTCATTTCACCGCAGTTGTGTTCAGATTGAGAGGGGACTTTAAGGAAATACCGAAGAAGACGACGAAGAAGGAGGAGGACGCAGCCCTTGGCGCTTACTGAAACTTTGAGCGATGGAAAATTTGTCCAGCAACAACCGGTTTCGGTCCGCAATGTTCAACCACGGTGAGTACTGTGCCAATATCACATCTGACAGTGAGTGGGATGTTGTATTTCTCAGGCGATGCCCGTCAACTGTCTTAGATCACGTCTTGCCTGACCCACAGTTAAACCAATACATCTTCCATTTAAATTACTATTTTTATTACGGACACACGGGGGTGTACCATGCACCGTTAAAATGCATCACTAGCTTGATATCGGGCCTGTTTGGCTACAAGTAAAATTTTATCCAGGTTTATAAGCCGAAGATAAGAGTGTAGATTTTATTATATGTGCAGAGAAATTACACTATCACAGGACACAGGTTACACTCGGTTCTGCTAAACGAAAATCCCTGAAAAGCCTGGCAGCCAGAGCTCCACACGGGACACAGCAGCAGCAGCAGCAGCAGCAGCACACTGTAATTCTGCAGTTATGCAAGAATGGTACCAAGACTGGCCACACTAAACTATTTCTGGACCACGAAGATATAGCTGGATTGCACCGATAAACTGGGCTGCAGCCGGATGGAGAACTCTGCAGTAAATCCCTCAAAGATTCGCCCCATCACCCTGTTTGCTTATTTACTCTACAGCTGTCTCAAAACAAGCAGTTCTGGCTCAGTTTGTTGTGTCAAGAAGCTTTACACTTCGGCCTCTGTAGGGTCAGATATAAGAGGATGAAATTTGAAATTGCTTCCTTAACTGGTTAACACAATAAACAGTTTATGTTTGACACTTTGCTGAAGGGCTGCAACTAAGGAGTATTTTCATCATTAATCATCGATTATTTTGTAGATTAAATGATGAATCATTTGGTACATAACACATCAGAAAACAGTAAAAACATTACAGTTTCCTGAAATAAAATGTGACATAATCAGATGTCTTGGTTTGTCTGATCATCAGTCCAAAACCCCCAAATATTCAATTTATTGTAATTATTGAAGAAGAAAAGTAACAAATTCTGAGAAGCTGGAACAATCAACATTTTGGTATTTTAGCTTGAGAAATGACTTGATTATGATAGTAGTTGCCAATTCATTTTCTTTCCATCCAGTAATGGATTAATTGTTGCTGCTCTGCCTCTTCTTCACTGATATATTGGCATAACCCATTAATTGAGCTAGCTCAACCCCATACTTCTACTCAGCCCAGAGTATGTCCGTGTGTGGTGGCCTCAAAGGCAATATTTGGTTTCCTGTTTCAAACTGTATCAAACACAGATCACCTGTATCTTATCCTGTCTGAAAATTGTGTTAGCTCTCAGCCTGTCCCCGTCTTTTGAGCTAATTTATTTTCAGGGACTCTAGTCTCATGATATAGTATACTGGAGGCAACAGTCACACTGAAACATCTGACTTGTTGAAAGTGCTGCCCTATATGTAGAGGGATGGTGTGTTGGAGATGAAGCTGGAGAGAAGAGAGTGGGAGGTGATGAGTGCACCCGTGCAGATAGTGGACAGAGATAGTGCTGAGCTTCCATGTGGTTTTCTTTGCATCTATTGATTGTGGCTTATGCTGCACCTCAGATTTGATGATTAAATTTGATTATAAATATATAACAGGGAACTTGAATGCTCTGAAATCTGGTAGAAGCCTCTAATTTCTCCATTTCTGTGTTCAGTTGCGCCCTTTTTCTCACTCACTAGTGGTATAAATATATCACTAAAGTATACGAATAGATCTAAATATAACACTATATATACTGCACTATCTTAACCAGAAACAATGGCCACACCTCTTAATAGACAATGAGAATCTGACCTGTTTTAAGTCATGATTGCATGCCTCAGTTTATTTCCTATGTAGTTGTGTTACGTTTTCTCAACCAGAAAATGAAACTGCTTGCCCAAAGATTCACCTTTGGTGTCTTGCCTGTTCATTTTTCATTCAGCCACTTCATATTTTACATGTTAGTGACAAGTTCAAATGTTAGTTTTTCCATGTCTGACTTTTGTCTGTCACTAACAACTGTCAGCTAACTGGAAAATCTTTTCTACACATCTATTCTACGATATTTCTTTGCAGAGCTGTTAACATGTGTCAGTGAGGGTATTTAACAGCTTGAAAACAAGACAGCAATTATATAATTTATCATTTCATTTTCTCAGTTAACTTCTGTTTTAAACTGAACTGACATGTGAGCTGGAGATGGAACTAGACCTGCTTTTTTAAGAGCCCATAACCCATTTAACAATTAAAGCAACACTAGCCCCTGATATCAGGCCAGACTCACTTAAAAACAAAGTGTAACTGTGAAAGGCACCCAGAAGGAAAGTGAGTGTGGTGCAGATGGGTGGCACAGTCAGCAGTGGCTTACATTCCTCAGGGAAAGCCTTGTGGAGAGATACTACCGTCCTCGCCGCTGTCTGTGGCTACGCTGACAGCATCACTGGTGGAGGACCTCTGCATGTAGGTCAACACATCAACCACAAGAAAAATGAACAAGTCAAGCGAGTAGCCGTTACAGTACAGCACAGGAATTCACATGTTCTGCATCTCGGTAATAAGATGTTTTCAGGTCTAAATTTGCGCACATATTTGGAGAGCTGTGGTTGTTGATGTTTAAATTATCTGATCGTTTGTTTGCTCTGTCAACAGTGCACAGGACTCTTATTTGCATCTCATCCTGCCACAGTAATTTCACTCAAAGTGCATCTGGAGTGATACATACTAATGCCAGTTCTGTTTTAAAGAGCAGCAGCAGCAGTAGCAGTAACTCACAGCTCATACATTATATATTGTCCATATGCAAGGCTTACTGAAGCACTGCCTGTCAGCTGTAACACTGCTGCTGTTTCTGAAGTGGTTGTAAATGTTGGCAGAGGTCATAATGATATTTCAGTCCCCTGACCTGCGTCTCAGCACAGTCTGGTCTGCAAGCTTACTGGCTGTGATGGTCCTGAGTTTAAAGTTGTGAATCGATATTTGTAACACTGCCAGTAAGTTTCCCGGGACAGGCAGCTTGGAGTAAAGAAATTTGTTTTGCCTCTTAAGAACTGAAAGAATCAGTAAATGGCAAACATCATGAATAATTTGGACCGGCGTCTGCTCTTGGCTAATTACTGGAGAGGCTGTATGATCTGAAAATACCAGACTTTGAGATAAGTGCCAGTTTCATTACTTAACTTGCCACACTGCTGCTTTGTTTCCAGAAGCAAGACACCAGCAGGGTGTTTCCTTCTGTGGAAATTGTAGTTTTCCAAATGTGTTGTCCAGTATTAATTAATGCAACCCATTCTTGTTGTTTTCAGTAAAACCAAGTCCCTCGAGAAGTGGCTGATGTTGTAATCGCCCACTGTAAATCTGAAAGCTCACCAAGAGCCCCCGCGTTAATTTTTTTGGAGACCACAATCACGCTCAACCTTTGATGAGTAATTTTCATGCCATCTTTGAAGCATGCATGCAGTCTTTTGCAACATCATCACTCAAGCTTTATCACACACATATGTACACACACACTGGTGCTATCGTTGCCAAAAATCTGGACACTTTGTAATCAAAAATTAGTTCAACATGTGTCAGTGATAATTCACACGTTTAACTGAGACATTTTTGTTTAGACAGCTTTGCATAAATGACATCAATGCTATAAAACTTTGAGTGTGGAAACCCAGTATTGAGCCTGATCCAAACATCTTCACTAGACCTAGAAATGTACAGAAGTTTAATCTTGATCAGAGTCTTTGGTGGAAAGATTAGTTGACAAGTTGGTCTCGAGAAAGTCATATATGTGAATTTATTTTCTCTGCCACTCAGTCTGGGAATAAGTTCCTTGGCTGTCCTGGCGTTGAAAAAGCATGGATGGTTTGTTTTTTGGAACATATTTTTAGAAACTTTAATAAAGCCCTTGGAGAAATGAAAAAATTAACTAGTCAATGATGTCTAAACAAATTGTAAACCTAACGACAACACAGGGTCTCCATTTCTTGAAAAAATAAATGATGTCAGGCAGGTCCTGAAAGCTGATGATTCAGGTGTCAGATAAGATGTGATTACCATAAGAATGTCAGATGCCTGTTCAAATATTACCTCAGCATGTCAGCACCAATCAGTTGTTTCGCAGATTATTATCAGCATTTTATTTGCATAATAAATGTTCACTTGACTTGTCAGGTTAATGCTGATCATATGTTTCTGTTCCTCTCCTATGTGTCGGACCTCTGTTGGATGTGGATTTTGAAATCATTTCTCCTGCTGATCAATCATCTTGCTCTGACCAGACGATGAGGTAAGAAACCAGAGTTTTCCTCAGTCCTGCTGCTGAAGACGAACTAGGTCATTGGTGAAGGGAGATTTGGCCTCAATTATCTCGCCAAAATGAGGACATTGTGGTTTGTTGATGTCAGCCCATTTTAACCCTGACAGCCTGCTACTCATGCTTGGATTTTTGTACAATTTCATTTGCGCATTAGTTTTAAATAAGTGGAAAAGTCATTGGACCTTGGAAATTTTAGTATTTCAAACTCTATCTACCAGGCCTACTTTTCAGTCTGAATGTGTCTGTCTGTCTGAATATTTCATAATTATGCATGTGACTAATGTTTCCGATTCAGTAAGTGTTCAAACTGAGCTTGTGATTTTTGCTGTGAATACTCTGAGCTTGTGTGACTTATCTCTGCCTATGTGCATCGTGGTTTCTCTTGACACCACAGAGCAATAACTGTGTGGGAATAGGTGTGTTCACGAAGCCCAGATTTTCTTGTTCCTTGTCTCGCTAAGTGACAACTGAGTATCTGATGTGTGCGTCAGCTTTGTCTGTGTACCTGCAGCTTTTGTCTGAGTTTAACTCTTTACGTTTTAGTGGCTATAATTGCCTTCTCTGCTCCAACATCCTGCAGCAGAGTCAGCAGCTCTCTTGAAGCACATCCTAGCTTCAGAGTCATAATGGTCATCTGTTATCACCTTTCCAGTAGCCAGCAGCCTGTCACCTCAGTGTCAAAACTGCACCCCCCCTCCCTTACTCCTCTTCTCCATGTCAGTGTCTGCATCCTAAAGCCCTGCAGCTGTGTTTAGCCCGGCCGAGTGGGGATGAAAGGGGGGCGTGTTTGTTTTCAAGCCCAAGAAGTTCACAGACGAGTGGAGAGGAGTGAATCTGTATGGGTGTGACAAACCCTGGTTACTTCCTCAGCAGCATTCCAAGCCTATGTGACAAAGCTGCTGTGTATGCTGCCAGAGAGAACACCTTGTGAGGAAACATTCAACATCTGTCCAAGGCCCAGAGGCTACTGCTGCTACTGCTCTTGGCTGGGTGACAGCATTTACTGGTTATTCGTGATGGTTTGGCACATCTCTGTTCCTGCTCTTCAAAACAAACCCATTGTGTGATTCCGATTAAACACAATGTATCTCTCTTCTGAAAGCCATCACTCAGTCCAGGTTGACATAACTGAAGTGCCTTTCCCCTGCGTCCACACCCCAATGGCTGCATAACCAGGCTGCAGCACTCTGGGGTGTGGTGAAGCAAGAGGGTGGCTGTGGCTTCCTTTTGTTAGCCTTAAAATGCCCCATAACCTCACACACATGCACTCACACACATACACAGACATAGAATGACGTCACTGTTCGTGGGCAGTACAAGCTGTGGACAGGGAAGCATAGAGGAGAGGATGGTTGTCTCTCTTGAGATGGTTGTCTTCACCATGGTGCATTCCTCTGTGGGTTTTATTCAACTAGCCATTAGCTTCCTGTGCCTTCAATTGCTGCTTGCCACTGCAGCCAAAGTGTAGGCAGTCTATACTTGGACTTTATTAGCCCATTAGCTAGCAAGCTAGTGCAGTGGATGCTGGATTTACCCTCTCCTCTGTTTCCCCTGCAGCTGTGTCTGTTTTTCTCATTTGCTGTCACTGCCGGTGTGTGCACATTGCATTCATTTGCAAACTGGAATGGCAGAATGTGCACCACACCCGCCTGTCCACTCATTTCATTGCTGAAGGAACATATACAGTACATATTATTGTGAACAAAACATCATCATCAGTAATTAAGCCAAGGGTGTGTGAGGGCGTCAAATTATGGGTATGAAACATATTCAGATGACATTTACTTACAGGACATTCACTTTCATTGTTCAACACATTACGTGTTAAATGAGCAGGAATTGACAGAGACTCAAGCAGTTGTCTCTCTTCCTTCACACAGGTCTAGTCATGTTAGTTATCATGTGAATCTTCACCACCGTACAGTGACAGATGTTAACATTATACCCTAGCCTGTGCAGTGTTTCTGTCATCCATTACATTATCTCGCTGAATCCACACACCAACAATAGTGCCACTCTACTCTGCGTGCCCCTCAGTGAGAGAGGGTGGCGCATCACTCATCAGTGAAACATGACCCATCGTTTTGTATAACCCACCATTGGGTGAAGTGTGTGGGCTTTATTCTCCTGTGCATGTAGTGATGGCACATCGGTGATGCAGGCACTGAGGCTGTAGCGGTGGGGCCTGTGGGTTTGGCTTTGACAGGCGGCCCTTCTGGGCTTTTTCAGTTTGATGCGAGGGCAAACAATCGGGTTAGGGAGCAGGCACGCAACACTTGACTGAATATGAGGCCGCCGTAAGACAACAATAAAGAGATGGTGAAAGATATGTGCTTAAAGAGGGGTTTGCTGTGAACAGCATCACATCATGTGTTCAGTTTTCTGTCATAAGTGCCAGTTTTTTCCACAGGAAGAGAAGCTGTATTGTAAGGCAAATGTACCTTTCAGTCATTGTGAATTATGTAGGTTAATGTGGGGGATAATCAACTAACCCCATCACAAAGGTGTAAAATATTTCCAGTCCATTACAGAGGAATATTCATCAGCAGTGGTGGCTAGAGTTACTAGTTTTACAATATTTTGTTGACCTCAATTACTATTTGAGGGTGCAACATTATCAGAAACACTGTACATTATAATCTATGCTATGCAGTTCAATGGGCCTTTGTCACATGAGACATTTTGACGAGTCAAAGCACAGGAAAAACACAGGTGTAAATAATAACATGAAAGATGGCTGAGTTCCATTTAGCTGCTTCAGTTACAGGATCCTGGTGTTATTCATGCTGGTTCACTGTCACACTGTCATGGCTTAGTGAGACACTTGAATTCAACAGAACTGTTGTTAATGTTATCGGTAACACTTTGTGCTTTTCTTGCTAAACCTAAACATAGACCTGACCAACAACATCACCACCTACAGCCTTAAAGTGATCATGGAGTTGATACTACACAACAAATACTCAGTACCTTAATACTTTCACCAAATGTCACAACACAGAGAATGCAGAATATCATCTACACATGTGTTTTACAGTTGTAGAGTTCCTACAGAAATATGTCCCTTCTCCTTTTATTAATTCCCTAAATCTCCCTGGAATATCTACTTGAAGATGCTGTTGAACGTAAAAGTCTTTGCTAGCTTAAAAATGGCTCACTGAATTGCTTTATTTGGTCCTCCTCTGACATCCTAGCTTCCTTTGCTCACCACTTCCTTCCTGTCCCTGCTGGGCCTACTCACCATACCCTCAAGCTAATGGGCTCGTGTCTTCATCTCTGCAGATGTCCCACGTCAGCCCGAGCTAGCCTCCCAACCTCCAGCCTCAGCACTCTGCAGAAGTTTTGGTCAGAGGGCGACCTTAGACATTCCTCTAAAGCCTCATAGAAGTGGCCCCTGCCAAGCCCCCCACCCGCTATAAATAATCTCAGCCCAGTTCCCATGGCCCCCACCAAGGTTCCAGCTTTCACTTAGCAATGCATGATATGGTACAGCTACCCAAACTGAGCACCACCCTGTTCTACCAGCTCAGACATGATTAGCTCTCTGGGAGGAAGAGGGGCAGGTGTTGAGGTTCGTCACAGTTGTGATCAGATTGGTCTGACAACCATGATCATGGGGAGTCAAGCATCATTTCTGTATAAAGATCATTTGTCTTTGCTCCAGCTCTTCCTGGTTTGTTAGACTTGTCCTTCTAAGGATTGTCTTGATCAAATATGTCATTCACAGTTTTTCCATTGTGCACAGTGATGTAGCTGTGGAGCTGACTGCATGGTTTGTCATCATGCTTAAATTTACATCTCTTGTATGGCTGTCTTCATTTTTTTTGGCATACTCAGTTTCTATGTTCGCATTGCACAATTATAGTATTTCCATCATCAACTCCTAACCCCTAACCCCTGTGGGACAACTCTCAAATTCCTCCAGTTTTTTAATCTGTGGTTTAGAGTGCAGCTATGTCTAATCCTTCTGGAATCAGCCTATTGAAAGTATATTTACATGAGGGGATGTGCATATAATTTAGCTTATGTGCGTCTAGTACATGCTGTCATCAAGCCATATTTGGTGACTAAAATGCATACCATAAATGGAAAATTCACATTAATACACTGTAGACCAGCTAAAACATTAGCACAAATATCAGCATTTAGAATTTTTGGATATGTCTCTTTGTTTGATGATTTTTTTCAGGTTCATTCACAATAAATTGTAAAAAAGAAAAGAAAAAAGAAACATTATTTCCATTGCAGCTACTGTGGAGCCTAATAAAAGGCTTTATAAAACACCAGTAATGAACACTAGAGTTTATTAACATTTTACAAGTACGTGGCCTGAGTAATTTATACCACAGAACCCAAAGCTATCAATTTATTCATCAGCAGCAGGAATAAAGGGCGCAGACTTGAAGCAGATTATGGGTGGTGCTGTAAGTGTTGTTGAAAGCGATTTGAGAAATGTCTTGAACCATACATCGTGTAGTTTTCCTTTATTGCAGCTTCTGATATTTCGTATACTACAAATCGACTCCTACAGTGAAGTTGCATACAGTACAGGCGATTTATCAACCAGACTGATGTTTGTTAGGATCATCAGTAATCCGGGCTGAGATCCAGGAAGCCTTGATCTAATCTTTGTGCTTCTGAGAACAAAGTCAGAGAGTTTACTCTAAATGCAGCCACTTTGAAGACACAGCTACGTCAGGCAGCTAACAAATTAAGGCAGTAAAATTTTGGTATCAGACCAGCTACATACTTCAACGGGGAAACCGTGTAATGTTTCTGATATTTGATGTGACGTCTGCAGAAAAATGAAAAGCTGTGTTTGTGACAGTACCAAAGATTGTGATTGTGAATGATACAGGTCACTTTTTGAGCACCCAAGATCATCATTTCTATGTTTTTCAAAAGTGAACTAATATAATTACTCAAATATCTTATCAAACACTTGTTAACCCACCAGCAGCAGTTGATCA